GGACTTGAAAAAAGTAACTTTTCTGTCTTGAAATCTGTACTTCTGAATGTTTAATGGGGATTAATTAAAAAAAAATTGTTTTTGCTTTTTATAACAATGTTCTTTACATAGATTATATTGGTAAAACATTGAGAATTATTACTGGATTATGCAGTTTAGCTCTTTAGCTTGAACTTTAAAATTTAGGAACACAAACTAATCCTTTTAATCACTCAGGTACAGAACAAGCAGAGAAACTTCCCACCACTCCTCGTCTCATTAAAACACATCTACCGGTCCAGTTTGTACCACAGTCGTTCTGGGAGCAGCGCTGCAGGGTAATACATATCTGTACCTACAATAATGAGTAAGTCATGAAACCCACAGATTATAATTTAGTGTCATCTTTCTACAGATAATCTATGTGGCCCGTAATGCAAAGGACAATGTAGTGTCTTATTTCCACTTTTCACGCATGAACAGTGCCCTGCCAGAACCAGGAGACTGGAGCACCTATCTGCAGGAGTTTATGGAGGGGAAGAGTGAGTTCAGTGTAGTTTTGGTGTAAAGAAAGGTGAAAATCATCTGAATTCCTGTGTAACCATTCTTTTGTATATTCTATGGCTCCAGGGACTTTTGGGTCGTGGTATGATCACGTGAACAGCTGGTGGGAGAAAAAGGAGACTTATTCAAATCTTCATTACATGTTCTATGAAGGTTTGATTGAGGTGCGGTGATTTGGGCTTATGTGCAATTTTCATCAGAATTTTTTATTGTCTAAAACTATACACTGTATGAAACAAAATAATAGAAACTGCAATTGGGTAAAACATCTTGCAGGTCTAGCTCCTGATGTAAATTAATTAATCCTTTCTTTGTTTATTATTGTTTTTTGCACAATAATGACATGAAAAGTAGCATATTCTTTACAATAATATTTTTACACATTAAAAGCCATCAGTAATGTGATATAGTTACAATTATTAATGGGTAGAGCTATATTTTACATAAACACAATTACACTGACAAAATTATTAGTGAGTGTAGCTTAAAAATAACTGTATTGGAGTACAAAATAGATTACTGTCCTCAAAAGTATACTTGAGTAGAAGTAAAAAGTAACAATTTTCCACTTCAGTTTAATTCAGTTAATTAAGGACCAACCTGTGAATTTCCCCTGCTGTG